TCCGTTTGGGCTGAAAATAAGGTGGGGGGGGGGGGGCGGGGGGGGCTCCTCCCCTGGATACGCCACTGATAAAAATCTTGCTTTACATGGATGCTGTGAGATAGTGAGAGAAATCGTAGCAGTGTAGTTTTGCTATAAATGAGTTCAGGGTTCCTGCCTCGCGAAGATCAAGAGGAAGACTGTTCCATAATTGAGCACCCCTGTAACTAAAACTTTGTTTAAAGTAATTAGTACGTGGATGAGGAACAGCCAGGTTATTCTCAAGATCTCGTAAAGGATAGTCCACCAGCTCATTTCTGGGAATGAATTTGTAACATAAATATTCCGGAGCCAGATTACTCAGTGACTTAAAAACCATTACCGCACGCGTGGTCGAATAACAGCTGATGTCTTATATCCTTCCATTGGAGTATTTCACGCAAACTCTCAGAACTAGAATCATAAGATGCATTTAATAGGGCACGGGCTCCACGATTCTGAAGTTTTTGCAGTTTATCACATTAACCCTTACTACGATTCTCCCGCACCACATTACAATGATTAAAGTGTGGTTGAATTAGTGAATTAAAGATTGAATTTAAGGGTTGAATGTGGAACAAAGGCTTCATTCTTTTAATCGCACCAATACCAGCAGCTATCGTTTTTGAAACTTTGTCAACATGGGTATCCCAGGAGAGATTTTCATCAACAAACACATGGACGTTCTTAATAGGAGCTCCGTTTATTGATGGTGATGGCATATGGAATAAATGATTTCGTCTCTGTTTTGACGTGATCAGCATGTACTCAGTTCTGCTAATGCTAAGACTTAATTTGTTGCATTAAGCCAGGTATTGACGCATCTAAGGTGAGATGCCATTACATTATCCAACTTATTTATGTCATCATTTGTGAATGTAAGACTAGTATCATCAGCATACATTCTATGGATTGAATATGATAGACAATTTGGAAGATCAAGAACAATAATGGCACGAGTATAGACCCCTGGGGGATGCCACACTGTTAAGGAAGAGACTATGACAATGAGCCATTCACAAACGTCTTTGTGAACGTCCAGTGACTGCATTCACAATTTGGCCAATTGGATGGCAAAATTCGCCATGTTGTGTTAAAAGGATCAGAGATACTGACAAGGCTCAATGAGAAAAGGGTGTTTAGGGGCTTTTGATTACTTGGCCATTCTGATAATCTGACAATGGCACCCAAAGTACGATAATTTACCGGAGTTGGAGCCAATATTCCTTGCCCGTCTGAAGAAGTTACGTGAGGTGACGCGTTGTGGGATTGAAGCGTGAATTGTAGATTCTCTCATTTGTTATTCATTTTTTCAAGCACGTGAATATAATAATAATAATAATAATAATAATAATAATAATGATAATAATAATAATAATAATAATAATTATTATTATTATTATTATAATTATAATAATTATAATAATGACTTTATTACAGTATTTCCACTGGAAGGTGGTTCTTCATCTGTAAAATTTGCATTAATATTAAAGATAATAACAGTAATAATAATAATATTAATAAAAAGCTATAGCTATGTACAGTAGTAGGGATGCTACTGACAAAAACTAAAGTAATCTAGAATATAACCAAATCAAGAAATCAAACGTACATTTGCCCTATTTATCAGATACTACTTCACTTGAGTTTTTAAATCACTAAAAACTTTACAGCAGAGGGTAATGAATTAAAAACATTGGAGGCACTGTCCTGGAAAGTATCCGACTCAAGGGATACTTTTAATGTCGTTTCTTTGGAAGACCTCAGTGTCCGCGTTAGATTATGAATGTCTAGCTTTGGATAAGACGGCCAGTCAGTATAATGCAAGGCTTTAAAAACAGTGTTTAGTAATTGATTCAATGTCTCTGCGTTCCTTTATTGGCATCCATCCTAGTTTGATTAGACCCGGCATATGCGCATAGCGCCAAAGAACGAAACCTACAGCGGCTAACTGGACACGTTGTAGGCGCTTTAGTAGGTATTCTGGGATTGGATGACTAACAATGTTATTGCAGACAATTTTCGATAAAATCAAGCATTCCGCCAGTTGCTTTCGGACATGGAAGAGAGTTAAGTGCTTTAATATTCTAACTACAGCTAGTGTAGCGTAGCAACTAGAGATCTTCGAGTTAATCTCCTCCTTCCAGAATTGAAGTGTTGATTGACTTGGGTCCCCAGCAGGCGAAAGTTTGGGACACGCTCGAGCCTTTTCCCGTTAATCGTGAGATTAAGTGAACATGTCTCCAGTCCATGTGCCCCTTGACAACTGAGCTGATGACAGCATCATCACCTTTGTTTTCTTTGGATTCAGAGCTAGGTTGAATATGACAAACGGCGAAAACAAGTGGGTTGTAGGGCCTGTGATTATCCGAGTTTAGTTGGCTACAGAGGACGGACTTTGGGGCTATCTCTATAATACATGCAGTCTCCCCTTCCCCACCCCTTTCCCAAGAGCTTGCTCGCATTCATAGCGATACCTGCGGAAAAACGTCATAAAAAGAAGCACATGACTCAAACGCGTTCCATTCTGTGTTCCGAGCTTTGTTTTAAAAGAAGAAAGGAAAAAGCTAAGTCGTATCTATTAAACACGGTAAAATGCCAGAACCACAGAGGGTTTGTATGAAAGGAAAAAAGAAGAAGAGGGATGATTTTCGTTCGCGTTTTTAAAAAGAAAATAAAGAACAAATAGAAAGTTAAAAACACGAAAAAAAGGAAATTTAATAAGCAAACGGCCCAAACGGAAATACAGCTGCATTCGCAGGCTGGGAAATATATAGCGAAGCACGTCTCTTCTTAAAAAAGTTGCGAAATTTCTACCTAGACCCTCCGCGAGACTCGGACAAACATAGGAGCGTTAACTAAAAATTAAGCTATATTGAAGGAAGAATTGCACTATTTTTAATTTTCTAGCTATCCACAAAGGCGATGGCCCTATGTAAAGGAATCCGGAAGAGCTACAATGAATTTGTCAAATTGTATATAAAACATTTATCTTGTAGAAAGTTTTCTCACGCACTTTTGCGAAGCCATTGCAAGGAATCGATCGGCCGTTTTCAAAGAAGGAGGATTAATGTTTGCCCCCCTGAAGCCTACGGTCGACTGACTTTTAAGCTCTTTTAATTTGACCATAATAATAACAGCACATGAGAAATATCCAGGCGTAGTCAATCGTTAAACCGATAATCGATAACAATCGAAGATTGATATCGATTTCCGATACCAATCAGTAGAAATCGATAAAGAAATAAAGCTGTGAGTTCGATTGATATCGATTTCCGATAGAAATCGATAACGATTGATTTATCGAATGTTATGGATTATTATCGATTGTTATCGGAAAAGATTGTCGTTTTACAAGTTAATGTTGTCTGTATGGCTTTATTGAGTCATTCAATCATCATAGCATGCAATAGGTTTACAATATAGTATATAGGTAATCACATGATTTCGAGTGCAATTTGGAATAAATAAGCAAGAGTAAATTTTTCAAAGACCAACAAAAGTGCACGAGTTGCACTCCTTTCTCAGCCAATCAGAATTGAGTATTTTTTTCGTGTATATTATTATCAACAAAATACTATAGGAACAAAAACAATAACAGGAACGTTTGGTCTTTTTATCGATCTTCAGCTTCAGCGTAGTTCATAATACAGGAAGAAGAAGAAGTTGTGGCCAAAGTAGCGGTGTGCAACCCTCGGCTAGTCTCGTTATAGCAACGCGATAAAGATGAAGCAGAATAAACAACAAGATCAATGTTTTTATGATTTCAATTAGTCGCATTAAGAAAGAAACGTAAGAATTAATCACGGAGTAAGAAATAAAAAAAAATATCCAGTAGCACAGCAATAATCACTTTGGCTTCATAAATATCGACCATTTATCATATACATACTGAGAAATACTCGCCAAAAAGTTTTGTTGTTATATATTGCATTGAGTTGGCCGATTCACAACCCGAGATTGCCACAAAAGACATACAGGAAGCAGTAGATAACAGTGGAATGAGTGGACATGTCAAAATATTTTAAAACGCCAGAAAACCAAGTGGGATGAACGCTCCGCCTTGACTACATGATGAAATCGATAATAAATTGCTTAACCTTAACCTTAAACGCCTTTCTCGTATATAGTTTTATTAAATAGCAACGCCAGTCTTCAGTAATGTGTTTGAAATAAATACTCTTTTGGATTATCGACTGTTATCGATAATTATCGATTGTTATCAATTTTTGCCAAACGATAAAAATCGACTTTTTTTTTCTGTGAGTTTGATTGTTATCGATTACCGATATCAATTGATAGCAATCGGTGATTGATATCGAGTGTATCGATTGATCCAATATCGATTTCTATCTATTGACTATGCCTGAAGTGTTTCAAAACTACCTCGTAAAGGTGTCTGATATTCACTCACGCAATACCAGATATGCCTCAAATCTCAACTTTCATGTACCACGTGTAAGGTCAAATAACGGCAAACACACATTTAAGTTTGCTATAACCAAAACTTGAGAGGAGATTCCTACTAAGATCAAAACACTTAGCTACCATAAGTTCAAAAAAGATTATGAGCGAATTCTAGTTAACTCTCAAAGGTAACAATTGTAATATGACTGTCTCACATAACCTGACTGCTGGCATAATCGTCCATAGTTGCCATGGCACCAAGCGCACGTTTATTATGTATCCCCAATCATAATATAGGGGTGGTTAGCTCGAAAGCTAAGCTCCTCTGAAAACCGTACACTTCTATAACCCAAGCCATTAATTTTCTTTTTTTTCTCCTTCTTCTTCTCCTTTATTAGTGTATTCCTACGTTACTATATATAATGTAAATATGTTATAAAGTGTGAATAATAACATTGAATTGAATTGAATTGTTTCAGTAAATATAAATCCTCGTGAAACACAGAGTAAATTGTGCCACTCAAGTTGTTTTTTCTTTTTCTATTTTTCGCCTCATGTAAGGAAATCCGGATTCCGGAATCCAAGAAATTTTTCCTTGTTGAATTGCTTGCGACTCTTGCGGAATGTGAAATCCTAGGCTTTGGAATCTGGAATACAGCTAGAGGAATCCGGAATCCCACTAACAATTGGAATCCTGAATCCAAGTTCCACTAGACCAAGTCTCTTCTTCCATCCTTGGGCGTTGATTTCATAAGCCAAAAGATACTGGTAGTTGGCAGTGTAGCGTGAGATTTTGAAGGTGCACATCTGGGGCAGTCTGGGGGCATGCTCCCCAAGAAAATTTTTTATTTTGAAAAACATAAAAACCTGGATTTACTTCAATCAAAATATAGTTTGACAAGTTTTACATAGAAGGCCAGTCCTGTGTCTTAATATTTCGACCCCCCTCACATTTTGTGCATTTTCAAAAGTGACACCCCAAATTCAAGCCTCTTAGCCTCCTCCAAACCCCCCCCCCCCCCCCCCCCCCCCCCCCCCACCCACACTCCCCACCACTCTTCACACTTCGGCGGGGGGAACGGAGTGAAAAAAGAGAAAAAAAAATAAAAATAAAAAATCTCATAAAAATATATAGTCAACTTACAGTATAAATAAAAAGTAGAAAGACCCCCCCCCCCCCACCCCCAGTACGTAATAAACGATTGGTCCCTTAACATTTTACTGAAGGGGTGAGAGGAACATGAAACTAAAAATGAACTCTAAATATAATGTCAAATTCTTCCTTAGATTGTAAGCCTGCTCAGAATTCTAACAGAAAACTGAAAACATCACCCGGTCTCTATCCCAGCCATCCCTTTAAAATATTATAGGCTTCCAAAAAAATTGTCAGTGTAAAAGCAGTTTTCAGTCTTAATTACATGTACATGGCCAGCTGCAAGTTCATTTACACACGTTTGCCCGGCAAAGAATATGATTTAAGTTTCAGCCATAGCCAAGTGGCATTCGTACTAGTACAAATTTTTCATTTTTTAAAGATCACTGTTTCTCAGCTATTTAAGTAATAATTGATTACTGCCATTTATTTATCTTTTTTTATTATTATTTACCTTATTTATTTGCACGTATACATTTTATTATATTTGTTAAGAAATAATTTTTATCATTTGAAGTTGTAATATATTGCTAAATATAATTTACAAGTGTTTTTTTATTTTAATATTTATTCTATTAAAATGTTGTAATTTATTTAATTTATATTGCACTGATATTGACTTGATGCGAAAGCGCTGTCAATTAATAAATGTGAATGTAGTTAGCATCTCGTCTACGTCAACAACTTTTCCAGTAACTCTGAGGTCTCTTTTAACTTAATCGATCATTCATGAATTCGTTGATTTGTGTATTGGCCAGCTTGGAAACCAGAGCTTTAAATACTCCATCCATAATACCTGATTGATCGCAGCTAGGTCCGTGGAAAAATCAGACTTCCTACATCCAAGATTTGTCTTTCATCACCAGAGTTCAATAGTTCTAATTGTTTCTCCATAATCGGACGTCGTTTATAAGTGGAGACTTTCCCACGACCCTTTTTTGCTTAAGTCTCCTTCCTGAGTTTAATCATTCGATGAAGGGCAGTGCCGCAATATCGGAACAAGGTATCATCTGACATGAATTTCCTTTGTTCGGAAGTCGAGATTGATTTTCATAGCTGAACGTGACTGTGACTAGTACAATCAACCTTTTCGTGAATTACGCTTACAACACCATGCACCGACTTCGGGGGAGCTGTTGTCCGACAAGAAAACGTTCGATGATCATTCGTTCTTAAGTTGGCCTTTTACTAGCATTTTCATCCCAGCCACAGTAAAGGCAGCTTTTCTGTTTTGCCTGTCTGATAAGATGTCACATTCGCTGGCAAGTGTCGAAACCAACAGTTAACAACCGAAAGTCCCGCATAGTAGATGTATCGTGCCCAGTTTCGTGAAACGTCCCCTTTCATTTGTTGAAGTCCACGCAGCGATTCAAGAAGACTTGTGCGAATATGAACTTGCCCCTGGATAGATGGCATCTATTCATAGTAACGCCTTTTCCACTTTTATATTTCGCTGCTCGTGGTGCTTGAGTATTTGGTTATACAGATCCCAATCACCAGACTAGACTGCAAAACAGTCGATCCATACTTTTGCGTATTCAAGTACGCGCGAACAGTCAAACAGAAGGCAGAGTGCCCTACGGGCGTGAGGCTCGCGTGTGTGAGATTCTAACGCTATTCTTACTCTTACGCTGCGCTAAATCGATTTTGAGAAGAGGAAAAAAAACAGCAAGAACAACAACAACAACCACTGTTTTGAAGCCTATCGCTTGACCTTCGACTTAAAGAAGAAGTGACCCGATTCTGGACTCCGGATTCTGGATTCCGGATTTCAGCTAGGGACCACGCCACTCGCTTAGCTACAAAGTAGAAAAGAATCTGGGGCGAGATTTCAACCTCTGGACGTGACTCGCTTTTACTCGCTTTATGCTTAGTTAGCATAAAGTTAGCACTCTTTCTCTGTTTTCGTCATTTTTTAAAGTGAAAGCAAATTACTTGTAAGTTTCAATACAGTGACAGTATAATAGTCGTACCCTTTTTAACTCATTTAATTATGCTCGTCTTTGTTTTTCTTTTTCTTCAAGGGTCAACACAATCTGACCTTCATACAAAGGACACGCAGAAATTATGCCAGGGTACAATTTAGCCACCTCAGACAAGGAAAGCATCGATCCTAAGTATCTGTGTAACTCCTGTGGTTTGCTCTTGCGAGAAGCAATGCAAACGGCTTGTGGACATTTCTACTGCAGATCATGCCTTGGAAATCTATTCATGTAAGCTACACTTAAGTTTTATGTCATTACATGTATCTAACAACTTATCCCTTCCATATGTAATTTGGTTTGGTGTTTTCGTCGTTGATAAAAATTTCTCAGGTTCCAGAAGGCAAAATGCTTTCAATACTGCACTCCCTACTGCACTATGAATGTTATTCGTTGTCACTATTTGTATGCAGAAGATTAGTGGCATAAAGATAAATTATTAGAAAGCAGAATCAGTTCATGGACTAAAAGTTTAGATACTGGATATAATAAATCATGTGCTCCTAAAAACAGGTGGCCCGGCAAGCTCATTACATGAATGCGGACGCGACTCTTGCTTGTGAGTGGTGTTGTGTTACAAACAGTTATTTACAAAGGCTTGTATGGGATGTAAATGGTTTTTCTTAAAGGAGAGAAAAAAAGTTATGTTTTAAAATAAAATCGGCGTACCTTATTGCCTTGTTGTATTCTTTGTTGTTTGCCCGCGCCTCAGGCCATTTTGAAGCGTTTTCGACGAGTTTGTGAATAGTGCTAACTTGCATTACAAGCCTTTGTAAAATAACCATTTATAACACAACACTGCTCGCAAGCAAGAGTCACGTCTGTGTTCATGTAAAGAGCTTGGGCCACCTGTGGCCAGAATTACAACAGGGTGTGTCAATATGCAGATCTGGGTATTACTGATCTCCGCACAGCCCTATTAACTTTATGACATACAGCAATTTCATACCTTTGAGACAAATAGTTATAAAATATCAGAAGAGGCTAACCATGTACCTGCAGTAAATGTAAGGGCTTTTGGTAAATCTTATCCAGGTGTGTGCCATGCAGGATCAGAGTAAATCAAATTCAGAATGCAGTCTTGTACTGTAGGTCCGATTTATGCTGAGCATGATAAGCAGTGGCATGAAATACTCAGAGGACTATTCCCCATCCCCGTACTATAAGTTGTCTCAAAATCAGGGTTAGCTTACAAAGAGCATTTTATAGTATTGTTAACAGTGTTGGAAAATAAGAGAAGCTGTGTCAAGATTTTTTGTCAAGAGGTTTGCCAAAAGTTCTTTACTCTTCTAAACTTATTAAACATGATTCAACAAGTTTTATAGGCGGTAGATATATATGTCAGACAAAATGTTGGGATGATCAAGATTCAGAAAATTCCTTGAATATTCTTACAGCTTGAAATTTCAAAATGTTCTTAATGCAATGACATGGGAATTTCTAAAAAGAACGACTGTGTTACAATCAACTCTCTCAAAGTGACCACTTCTCATATTAGTGACCACCTCCTGTAAGCGACCACTTTGTAAGTGACCCTTTTGTTTGTTATTCAAGTACTGTTTCAAAATCTCTCTTTTAAGTAACCATTACTTTAAATTTCTTAAACTAGGGTACCTAAAAGATAGTAATGCTGCGGCACATTCTGTTGATACTGGCATTAGTTAGGCAGTGAGACTTAAAAGAATCGAAAGTGAATGTCCTATTTACATGTTGGAAAGTAATAATTACCATCAGTCTATAGAAAGAACTTGTGGGAACGTTGTTTAGAAAATGATCATTACGACAAGTGGTCATCAACTCTGGTTTTCCCACAGTAAATTGTAGGAAATGATAGAAATTCAGATTGTTCATCCATATATTTAATGTACGGTGTACTATCTTTTCACTGGAAACACGATACTTTTCTGGCTGTTTATTGCACTTTATTGAATGACAGTTATTTAGGTATATATTTATAGAAAACAACAACACAACACAAAAAAACAGAAAAAAAAAAAGAAAGAAGGAAAACAAGAGTTGTGTAGGACTCGAATCCAGCACCTTTGGCTTGACGTGACTACACCTAACCACTACACCACTGAGGCTGATTATGTAACCTTAGGGAAAAGTCTTTGATTTAATGCCTTTTGAATGAACCTTCCGCCGGCAAGATGATCAAGCTGCATTAACTGGGCTATTAACAGTAAATAAAAAAAAAAAATGCAAACGCATATTCCATGGCAATGAATTAATTAATGAACGAACATAATTATGCTTCACAAACTTTACAAAACGACAATACACGTCCTCGTAGTAGGACGCAAAACATGTGTTTTGTTATCTCAATTTCTGCTGTTATTTTGAAGCTAATGGTCAAAATCACATCCATTTTCGGCTCACACAGGTTCTTAAGAATAGCATAGCATGACATTTTCTCACTTTCACATCACCTTCTAGCAAGCTGGAATTTGTATATCCCCCATGTTGCGGGGTTGAAGAGCAAATGCTCATCTTCTTGTCAAGTTTAACGCCTGGATGAGTCAAAGGCTCTTGATTTGAAATCCAATCCCCAAGTTAACCATCATACTCATCTGAAAGACTCCAGCGTGTCTTAAATTTGTTAAGACTGACCTCTAACCGTGCTGTAGAAAATTTGCCACAAAGAAAACTCTGAGTCTGGGCAGCAAACGATGCACACTCTTCATCGTGTTTTCAGTTGAGTTGTCCCTGTCGCAATGCATTCTGGTAAAAAAGTAGCGCAGTGCACTCTGGTTAAATGCAATGCATTCTGTAAAAAATGTGTAGCACTAATGTGTAGCACTAATTTTACTACGCAGTAAACAGCGTAAATGTTAGCCATGAAAAGTTTACTCACCTGAACAGAATGGCATCTTCTGCGACTGTTTCGCAAGCTTTCAAATTGCCAGAACTTTCATCTTAAAGCTGAAATGTTTCACCTTTCATTTGAAATACTTTGTTTACCGAGAACTTGTTTCAAGTGTCCGAATACTGGTACTGTCTGGATACTGGGCAACATACTGTACGGCCCGGGGGGGGGGGGGGGGGNAATACCCTGTTTCAGACCTGCCTTATAATTATTTCCCTAGTTCAGACCAATGTTAAAGGCAATGTTTATCTGCTTTTATTAGGTAGGTTATAATACTGCAAAGTTAAGACTACAGTGCAAAAATCGTTACCCTATTTATGATCAAAATGGCGGCAAAATAGCCAAAATCGATACCCAATTTATGACCAAAACGGCTGAAAAACCCTACCCTTTGGGGCCGCACATACCTATATAGCCCAATTTAGGGAGTACCCCCCCGGGCTGTACGGGCTTTACTACAAAAAGGAGTTTTGTTGTACAATGTACCACCCTGTCATTGGCTAACTTAAGCACCTTAATGAGAAAATGGCATCTAATTCAAATCCAACCTTTACGAAGAGAAATTTTAAAGAGCTTTTACTTATTTTCAGAGAAAAAGGAATAATCTAAACGGTCTTCAACTCATAGGTCATGTATATGACAGTATGTGAGCTTGTGACTTGGGTTTGGTCTGTCAACACTTTATTTTTTATAATGACTGTACTATACGCTGTATATATAAATTATATTTGGCCATTTATTATACAATCACTTAGTGGCAATTGGTTCTTAGGTAATTGGCATGTAATCTCCAGCTGATGTTTATGAGAAAAGGGAAAGGAAATTGCCTCTATTGTATTACATGTATGTATTTAACTATGCAATATATCTTTCAGTAGTTCATTTTTACAATTTGATTATTAAGTTTATCCTGTTGATTTTGCAGAAATGGAAGTTTCAAAATGACTTGTTTACAGGATAATGTGGAATTGAATCAAAATGAAGTAAGTGGGAATAATTCTTGTTTACACTTTCAATTAATTGTGTATTTTACATGTACAGATAAATTATACACAACTTTCATAATGGCGGACTACTCAGGCAGAATGGGAACTACTGACTTGGAAGTGAGGCTATTTGGGCCTCGATCACTATGCAAATATGGCGGCCAGCAAAGGAAAATAGACGCAAACATGTTCCATATCTTTGAAGTATGTACATTGTAGCCTGTGCTTGGCTGATCATTTAAATAATATATAATACTTCCCGAAAGTAGAGTGTTCTTGTTTAGCTGGGATCGAATTGACGAAAATTTACTTGAATCACATTCCAAAATGCCCTTAAGCTGCTGTGTTCCTGATTACTCTAAGAAAGGTTACCGGGATGAAGATGGATCTAAAGTTTCTTTTTATCAGTTTCCTGAAGAAGTTAAGTGGATGCATGCTATAAGAAGGGATGAGGGAGAACATTTCCATATCACAAAGGGGACTAGGTTTGTTTGAGGCACTTCAGGCAGTACCAGTACCGTGAGATCCAAACCAGTTCTTTGTCTACTCCATTTTTTTGGACCATTACCTCGGTCCTTTAATAGTCACATTATATTTTACAACTCGTATCTACTCGTGGCTCAGCTGCCTCAACATCGTGACTTCGCGTGATTGTTTTTGAAGACCACTGCTTTGTACAGTTCAGTATTTTCTCTTTAGTATCATGAGGTAATTGCCCCCGCATGGGCGAAATCCCGAAGAGGCACTCTAGTAACTCGCGCGTATATTAAGGGAAGTACTTACAGTTGAAATATACAGTCATGCAGTCAATATGGAAAAAATCTCGATTTGCTCTAACAGGGGCCGCAAGGAATTGGTAGGTAATGATGACGTTTCTATTGTTTGCGCCTGCAAGTACGAAATGGTTAGGATGACGTAAAACACAAAAAGCTTACAATAGGTAGATTTTTTGACATAAATTGTGCAGTCATACTTCGATACTCTTTTGCGTTACGGGTTATCAGTGACATTCTGTGGAGCAGTTGTTATGAAAGTTATAGACCAAAAGACACTCGTTAAGTGCAGATGAAGTTATAAGGTGCATAGAACAGTGTATATTTTAACACTAAGTGAGTTTGCCAGACACGAGTTCACAAATCTTTGATTGGAAACCTTCAGCTGAGCCTTGCCAGACTCTCTTTCTTCTCTCTTTGACCGAAATAAGACTCGGCTCAAAACAAGCAAGACGAGTGAATGATTCAATGGCTAGCTTATCACTAGCAGAATGATGGACGATTACAGAAATTCTCCGACCATCAAATTCTGTGCTGACATATTTCCTGCTCACAGATGTCCTTCCGCTATAAAGTTTAAAATAAGACTAGAATGCACGAGCATAAATTGATCAAACGTCCTTTTAATTTCTAAGGCTTACTTTCTGGCAAATGAAATGAACTAAATGTAAAGAGTGAAATAGAAATAACGAAAAATTAAACTCCTAATTAAATCTTTTCTTATGGTTTAGAATAAACTATTCTCGAAACTGAGAATGTTTTGATCAAAGCTGTGTAAATGGAACCGAAACTGTGCATGGAACCTTCCATTTATTTCCTGTATTTATCTCACCTATTCTATGGAATATGTGTGAACATCTTCATTTTGAATCGGTATAATAATTATTTCAAAGAGCTACACAAGGAGCAAGAATAATATATACAGGGCGGGTGCAGCTGTAGTGTCAACTATTACTAGTTATTTTGTGTATATCTTATATATTTGGAACTAAACTGCGTTTACACGATAGTCTTGAAAAGTGACCAACAAAGGCAGGCGATGAATTTTCCATATAAAAAGCTTATTTATAACAACACTTTGACTGCTTTGATTGTCTGAGTCAGAGCAGGGACCAGAAATTCTCTATGTCATCTGTGTGCATTGCTATTTTTCTCAAAACGCTTGGTAATACTTTACTTTAATCATCACACTGGTGTAAATGTCAGACAACTTTGCAATGTTTGGATACTTTAAGCATTGTTTAAACAAAAAATATTTTTAGTACAGCAGTTAAATGTTTCTCACAATGTAGCCTTTAATAGTGGGATTCCTGTTTGGTTCTCCTTTTTAATATTGTTATTTTATTGTCTTGTGTTTATGTATGAAGCTAGGGGAAAATTTGACAAGTGATCAGCAGTTAACTAAGGCTTTTTATCGTGCACACTTTTGATAATCATGAATACACCATTCTATTAAAACTAAAATGAGGGACAAAAGTGTTGAGACACTTTCAAAAAATGGCCCCTTTTTGCATAGTGGACATTAACCTATTCCCTTCCCCTCTGTACCCTACCTCCGCCCCCCCAAAATCAATGTTGAAGTTTGGACCCGCAAGTCTTTCTTTTACTTCAGACAACATTGATTCGGGGGTGAGGGGATTTACAGCATTTACCGGTAAATAGTCTTAGAATGGAATAATAAATGTATGAAATTGTTTATAAAAGTACCCATTTTAGACAAGTGTGTCAACTACTTTTGTCCCTGATTGTGGATACTTGTAATCTAATAATGCATACTGTAAAGTATGCTTAAGAGTCTGATGCAACTCATGCAAGAATGAACTGTTCAACTCTCTGTCATTCATCAATTTTGCCTGTGAACATGCAAAGAACCTAACTGTAAATAAACACATTATAAATACCTGAGGTAAACAATTAATATGAATGCTTTGTTCTTTACTTTTCACTCAAAATATATAAATAATGTTGTAATAATACACAATACAGTGTATCAAATGAAATACATTATTTTTCAGTTCAATCTTCTTGTTGAAAATCTGTTGCTGTAAACCTTAGAAAAATGTTTGTAATAATAATCTAGAAGCTCAGTTCTGAGGTTTTGCTGGAAGACAGGATCAAAAGCAATCCTCTCATTATGTAAATACCCTTTCTGGTATAATCAATAAAGTCACACCATTTGGCCCCTGACACACCCATTTGTCCTTGAACTTGGGCATAATAGGGATGATTTGGTTTAAGTCTACATTCAGTGTCACTTATTTTTTCCATGAAGGAATTGGGATCAGAACATGCTGCCAGTTGGGTGACATGAAACTTTGTGTGTGGGCATTTTACCTCTCCCAAACCAAAGCAAATGGACCATCCATAATCCACGGCATCAGGTGTGGCACATACACTTGGCCACATGTTTGGGATGCATAAGTGACTGGGTGAAGCTCTCGTGATTTCTTTGTTGTTTTAAAGTAAGATGGAAATTTGTCGCACGTGAATCTATAGATGTGCTCCTTCTTCCATTGTCCAGACAAAACCTAGATTATGGACAGGACCTGTTGTGGTATTACATTGTTTCTCGGAATGGAAGTTCAATCAGCAGTGGCCACAAAGTTCAATTCTGGGGTTTTCCAAATTTTTGTACATTGTAGTTACAAGTCCCTCACTTGCAGTTACACTTTCACTCATTTGGAAGTTTTTCCCAAGAAGTGCCTCCATCCATCCTCAGGATAGGTGACAGTTTTGACCCTATCACCGTCGATATGTGACTGATCAGCGTATGTGGATAAGCCACTTTGTCACTTCTTTCTCTTTTTGTAGAGCCTGGTCAGTGTAAAATGCAGACTGTGGTTTGGAGACTGCCGACCAGGGGTAAAATCCAGACTGAGTGTAAAATGCAGACTGCAGACTGAGAGTGAAACTCAGTCTGCGTGCAAAATGCAGAATGAGGACTGCAGACTTTTTAAACGTTTGCACTCCTTCTTCTCCAAATAGCTAGCTGGTATCAGTTACACACCTCACGTCCTAGTTGAAGTACATTGCCCATTCACAAGAAGATTCAATGAACATCCGAACAGTCAAAGTCTGTGTACCTTGATTTGCAATACTTTCATAGAAGGTCAACAAATTTCCTGCAGAACATCTTTGGTCATCTTTCCTTGTTGCTGGAATCATTTACCCCTTTTTTATCGCCATTATTCCTACTGTACAGTATTTTTGGGTCAGCAGCTTTTATTTAAGTGTTAACATCGTAGTGTTGTACCAATTCACAGTCATGGAGATAGAATACTTTGTGTCTAAAGTTGAAGCGTGAGCCTCTCATACAGAAAAAAAACCTTGCTCTTAAACCCTTCTGCAACTACAGTTTATGCTTGGTATACATTTTTCCCCTATTTACCCTGAACCACACAAATCAACCTCATCATTTTCAAGAACTTTGTCTTTTTTGTTTTAAGGTTTTTCCAGATAACTTCATGCGTCGTGAGGTGCAAGCATTTGTCGTCAACTGCACCTTCATGGAAGACGGATGCCAGTGGAAAGGGGAAGTCAGACACTTGGAGGTAAAATATGGTAATTACAAAGAAGTACTGAAAACTGTGAGAATATATTAACTAACATAAAGTGGAAGCATCAGTTGTACATGTCCTATACACAGAAAAAAAAAACAGAGAACAAAATCAGTTGTTAGCTAGTTTAATATATGTGGTCCTTCAACTAATAATCTCTTTATACCATTATCAACAGGCCCACACCAACAGCTGTGAGTTTGTCAAACTCCCCTGTGTACATCCTGAGTGTGGCATGTTGGTGAAAAAAGCTGATCTTCCTGAACACCTGGAAACTGAATGCAAGTGTAGACCTGAAACTTGTGGATTCTGTAAAAACCAAATCAGCCTGAACAAGTTAAAGGTGTGACGCATTGTGCTCTTTGTTGTACTGAATATAAAATATGCTATCTCTGACGCAGAGTCATTATGATTTTAAGTATGCAAACAGGCACTTGTTCTGGGTTAACAGTGATTTGTCACGGTTTTTTTCACATTTTTGAAAAGGAGTTTCTATGCATATGGACACTAAAGCTAAATGTACATTCAAACGGACACAACATTGTTGGCCAACAACTCCCAACATTGTTGGATGTTACATGTTGCATGTTGTTGGGAGTTGTTGCAGAAAGTTTAAAACCGGTCAAACTTTTAAAGCTCTGTAAAACGGACGCAACGTTGTTGACCAGCAACTCCCAGCAATGTTGGGAGTTCTTGCGTCTGTTTGCAGTGGTAGCCTAATATTCATTAATTTTGAATGCATGTACAGACAACCTTGCAAGAAAACTGGTGTCTTCGGTGTGGATAATTTTCATTGACACTGATTTTTAAAAAGGATAAACTTTTATTTCACTGGTTTAAACAATCTTTGGTAGTAGATTCTTTTTCCTTTCTTGGTTTTAATTAAATGTACATTGTACAATGTCATATAATATGTCATTATAACATTTTTTTTCATGGTGGTGAGAAAGAGAAACAATACAGACAGCCGCTTACAGTGTATTTATTATCTATTTATAATTTCGTACAGCTGCACGAAGAGAAGGAATGTCCAGCATATCCAGTTGTATGTGAAAAATGCAACAAAGAGGGAATTCCACGTACAAAGGTACAGCTATAGACGACTGTGATGTGGTGTACTTTCTTTTTCAGACAAATCGAAATAAATTGACAGCTATTTGTTCCTAGTAACAGTGGGGCAGCACCTTATTCTTGTTATCTTAGACAGAGGAAGGAGAGACACCTAGATGAATATCACTTGATTTTCTGTGAAACTTACTTAGAATTTTTTTTCCTCTTGAATTTAGTTGTTATTTTAAACTGTGATGGCTGTCTTGCTTCTTACTAATAGCGTTTGCACTTACTTTGTTTCCTTGAATAAGCGAGTAGGCGCTAATGCAAAATGTCAACTGAAAGGATAGGCACTTATTGGAAGGGAGGCGCTTATTAAGTTCTCCTGTTGGCAATCAAGCGTACCTTAATCCCGTTATACATTTTACACAAAGATGTATCAGTATAAATGTTGAAGTTGAAACTTAAAAGTGGCAATAGAAACAAGTTTTCATTGCATCCTTACTATTTGACAATTTCAATATTTAAATGATGGAGGAGCCCTGGAAAGCGGGGTGCTACTGATATTTTGGCCTAGGGGGTGAGCCCTTATCCTGGGGACTGAGAGTGCTTATTTGACGAAATAAGGTACAGGTATTCTTCTTGTAATATACTGCAATATCTGGCATTCTTCAGGAGTACTGAATACAAAGGTTAAGTTCTGGATACTTGCACTCTCATTTCCCAACTGACTTTGCGGTTGACAATGTGTCCTGGGATAATAGAGCGGTTTTCACTTGACTGTCGAAAGGGATTGGTTTTGGTTTTGGTTTTGGTTTTACTACGCCCTTTGGTTGGCTAGTGTATTTACTTTGGTTTTGGTTTTACGACAGTCAAGTGAAAACCGCTCTAATTTATCAGTATTGTTTTTGAGATTTAAATAAATTTAATGCAGTAGGCACAGTGTGTGGATGTCGTGGCCAGTTTAAGTTTATCCCTCTACATTAACTCCTTTCTATTTATCTTTCAGCTGTCGGATCATCAGGATCCAGTTGTAGGAGACTGTGATGCAGTACAGGGACCATGTCCATTTGCACAGATTGGCTGCTCAAAGACCGAGGTATACAAGATTAGAGATAGGTCCTTGATCCCAAACCCTTCCTTCTGCCTTTTTCAGATGAACATTTATCAAGGCAAACAGAGAATTCTCTTCCGTTAAAGAAAGACAAAGAATTGCTTTTTAGTAAAATTACAAAAGGCAATTGAGTCAATAATCAGTACTAAAGAGATGTTCAAAATTGTTGGGATTGGGATTTGGCGTAAAAAATGTGTGGAGCCATTCTTCCACTCGGCATATTAATTTACGTCCAAGCTTCTGGTAAGCTCAGTCTCCAGCCGTGGGTGTCTCGATGCGCCCGCGGTACTCCCACGGGTGGGAACTGAGCCTAAGCTTCTGGCTGTTGGTCGACATACCCTGACCATCAAGGCAGTCATCTTCTTTTCTTGTCACTTAAAATCGCCGGGGCGACTTCCACAGAAAAATGACTGGTATGCTCGTCGGAAATTAAAATTTAAAACCCCTTAGGGAGACCAATGTGGATGTGCGAGCTCGAGCTTTAATTGACCCCTAAAAGAGACCAAACTAAAACAGACATCACGGCATTTTTTGTTGATTTCTTTATGCACAGCCCTAAACGATACCTGAATGTGTAAATATAGTGACTTTCCGTTCCAACACCCTAAGTGAGACCAAAATCTGCAATTTACGTCCAAAGCGAGACGACAAGCATTCCCATCACTTTTATTTGGGAGACTCTCTCCCGGGTAGTGCCAACTGTAATTAGATTTCTTAATTACAGTTGTTGAAACTGAATAATTTTGCTTATAGTCTCAGTTTTCTTTGTAGGCTCTTAACTCAAGGCAAAAGAAAGAGCACCTTGAGAGAGACAATGTTTACCACACAACATTGCTTCTTCATCATGGCCTTAGGATGGGTCGAGAAATGGAAGCACTTTTGACTCGTGATCCAAGAACCTTGTCGAGAAGTCCGCATTTCTTCACAAACTATGACGGTATCATCTCTGACATGCTCGCTCAAATTCAAACCAGTACAACGGAAACCAGGGATTTTAGGGAAAAGCTTAGAGAGCATAGCGAACGAATCACCTCCCTGGAAAGAAAAGTGGCCTCAGGAAATCTCACGGCAGCGGTCGCATCTGCTCAAGTTTCTGGTGATTCAAGTGCTGGTGTACCAAACAACGAGATTACACGAAGGGTAAACAACCTTGAGAATAAAACTGCTGACCACGAGGTGCTGTTGGTTGAAAGTAATCGTTCGATCGAGCAGGCAAATCGGGATATGGGTAATGTAAGACGACTGGTTGAGACCGTCCAGGAAACCGTCAGAAGGGTGGAAAGAAGGATTGAGTCTATTGAGCATACTTTGGCTCTAAGGAACGTTACCTTGGCTGATTTGGAGGAATACATAAGGCAACAGGAGTTTTCAAGCTACGATGGCCAATTGCTGTGGAAAATAACTGAGTTTGCACGTAGAAGAAATGAAGCAGTCAGCGGGCAGCAAGTCTCCTTCTACAGCCCTTGCTTCTACACCAGTCGCTATGGATACAAGATGTGCGCCCGCATTTATTTAAACGGAGATGGCATGGGCCGAGGAACACACATCTCTGTGTTCTTTGTGGTCATGCGCGGTCAGTATGATGCAATTCTCCGCTGGCCATTCAGACAGAAGGTCACGTTCATGCTGTTGGATCAAGATAATGTTGAACATGTGATCGATGCGTTCAGGCCTGATCCTAACAGCTCCTCATTCCAGAGACCGAGGAGGGAAACCAACATTGCAAGTGGGTGTCCGATGTTTTGCCCTCTGACCGAATTAAATAATCACGCTTATGTGCGAGATGATACCATGTTCCTTAAGATCATAGTCGACACGACTGACCTGTAGGCAGGATCGGGCTGTGTGTGCAGGATCTAATTAAGCCAGGCTTTAAGGCCGAATTTCTCTTGCTTTTTAGCTTAAGGACATTCGCGTTTGTACCCTTCCTTAATTCGCACACAACTCTTGCTGCTATGCCAATTCATGTCATGTATTGAGTGCCAGAGCAAAGGAAACATCAACAAATAAAGAATTATGACTTAAGTAATACAGTTTAAATGGTCGGCAATCCTTTCTTTTTCAAACGATAATTTTCAGTTCTTAGAAAATTTTCGCTTTCTTTCCACATGTCTGCCCGCGGGACGTCGACTCCTCCCGAATGAGCTGTGAACTCATTCGGGGACGGGGGGAAGGGGTGGCCGGTCACTTATGAAATAGTTCTTTACTAGAGACATGTCGATTCCAGCAGGGCTGAAAAGTTGCATTTCAGAGATTTACTTGCAGTATTTTTTTTAGAATAACTCTAAAACAGATTGGAAGATTTTCGCGCGAACGTCCTTAAGCTAGATCAATGATTAGTGATGGGATGGTTAAGCAATAAAATCTCCGTGATTGGTATAGAAACGTTTGTGACCAAGAACCAGGATGTCGGAAATTGAATTTGCTGATGAAAGCTCCTTAGTTTATTTCACTCATTTTTGAACAACGTAACACCCAGCTGCCTCTCTCAGTCAAGTACTATGCATCACGCTTTGTAAAACGGATCAGAACCGCACTAATCGAACCCACCATTTCCTGGCCTCGATTCTTTGTCCAGTGCTCTAAACGTGCTGTTTCTTATTTCATGATCCTTTAGGGGAATTCAAAAGCTCTCTTAAATTGTAAAACTAAACTTTTTTGTCTCAGTGTACTGTTCTCTCGATCTTAAAAATACCAAAATCCTTACGGTCCCTACCCCTGTAATAAGGAACATCGGCTACTTGGTTCTTGACTGCTCACGACTTTAAAGAGGGGGGGGGGGGGTGGGGGGTGTTGCAGGGGGTTCGTAGGTGGTAATAGATATCCTTGTTGTACACAAGAACCATCAGTGCCACTGGGTAATAGCTTTTATCTATCGGCTTTGCCACCAAGACCAAAGTTGTCCACGTCCGCGTTCGTAGCCCCTGGAAATACATTTTTTGTAGCTAAGCGACAACGGCCTAAGACGAGCTTTTCAGCGCTTGCAATGGCGGAATGTAGTGGCCTAGGACCTACAGTCAGATAAGCCCTAGGCCGATGTTTAGGATCAGGTGCCAAAGTATCAAGTTGTGCCTTTTTTTTTCTTATTTCATACCGATTATTGTATCAGTGTTTTGTTTACAGAAAATATACGGAAGTTGATTTTGACTGTTACTGTTAAGAATGAAAATTTTGTCGCCTTTTTGTGGATATTGCAGATTTCTCTCGATCCACAAAAAGACATCCCCTTTATTTCTCTCTCTTGATTCCAGCTCAGTGAGATTCTGCAAAAATTTACCCCCTTCTGGAATCAGTTCATTACATGTAAAAATGCTAAAAGTGGCGTTACTGGAGGGATAGCTCGGACGAAAGCAAAAACTAGTTCTACTAGGCTTTTTGTTTGATTTTGGTTTCGAGTAGGTCCTATAGGGCAGTGAACTGTCTGTAAAGTAGAACGTACTTGTCAAAGTATTAAATATTAAAATATTAATTTTCCTTCCTTACTAACGTTTGAACCGCTAAAATTTGTTCCCGCACTAGCCACAAATAAGCCAATTTCAAAGAAAAAGAAAACTTCCTCAAAATTTTCATGCTGCTCAATAATAGTCAATAATTAGATTAAAAGCAGTCCTATTATGTGAGGTGGCAAACTTAACAAGAAAAAGTAAAAAAGAAGCCGTAGTCGATGTGATCAAACCGCAAATATATGATCCTAAAGTGCATGATTTCAGTCTTTGAATTGTTCATATTGAGATGATTAAATAGGTTTTTGGAATGTATATACAGAGCTTGTAAATAGCTATGTACAAAATGCTGTTACTAATTATTCTCCTTATATTTCAACATGATTTCGTCGCCCATTTGTTAAATTTATAGTCTAGGGAGGGATCTCATGTAATAAGACCCCACGATTTCAATTTGAGCTTCCTCGCCAGAAAAATACGTGTAATTCTTCCACGTATGTAGTCTACGTCACTTTTAACCTTTAACTATCATTTTTGCAATATATTGAAGGACTGTATCAGTATCTTTTTTCCTGCAAATAAATAAACTGAAGTGAAGCTGTAAATAGGTTAATTTACATCATACTGTTTATTATGGACTTTGTAATATTAAAAACTTGTGTACGAGAACCTACTTGATTAAGAATTACGAACCTGTAGGCTAAAAATCGACTACGACTGTTAGACATCCTTCTAGGCGTGATAATTTAACAAAATACCTTTAAATCGCTTAATAGGGACAGTCAAACCCCGCTTAACACGGACACCTCATTATTACGGATACCTGCTTTGTTCCTGGGGAAAGAAAGCCCTTACATTTTTTCTAATTGACTTTTTTTATTAATTATTTGTTAACGCATAATCAACCTCGTTTTCAGGGCCAAGCAGGTTCTTCAGCTGTTTCTTGTACACGGGTTTTACCTTATCTTAAGAAGCAGGTATTAATAAATTGTTGTAGTTTTAATAGTTCTTAGGTTATCAAATAGTTGATACAGTGTAAGTGGTTGTTCTAGATGAGTTGCACTTTTTTGTTATACAAACATAGTGTACCAAGGTCTTGTGAAAGACCTCAAACTTTGTAAATGATTTGTAAATTATCCATGAAGTAAAATTGCCAGGGACTTCAAACCAAATGATTCTAGTTTTAGATAACAAACATAGTGCCTCCCACTGGCCTCCCTACCTCATCACCTTCCGGGCCCGACTGTTTAAGCTATACCGGATTTGTAACCCTTTGTGCTGACACGACGAGCTATTCGGTATAGCGTGAACAGCAACAGGACAGAACTGGAACAAGTAGTTCAAACACATCGAACAACGTCCCGGAACAACTGGCTCACTGTAAAATGAAAAAAGCCAAATCGACCCCAAAGGCCAAATCGGCCCCAATTTCTCGAGGGCCAATTTGAATCATGCTGGGCCGTTTTGGACAGAAAGAGTCAAAACAGTTCTAGATAGTACCAACAGGTCATTTGCACTAAGAGGTCAAGTGACATCGTTTTTATGAAAATGAAAGTTATATGATTTTTCCTTCAAAATTCGATTAGTGGATCATATCTTAGACAAAATAATAGTGATTTGGTTTTTCAAACCCACACTATTTTCTTAAAATGAGTAAGTTCGTAGCTAGTTACGTGACCAAAATGTGATTTTTAAAATTATAAACTACCTCTTTCTGAACACAAATTTTGCTCTTAAACTTCAAGGAAAATGTTGAAAAGATGATGTAGTTACGTTTACAGCACATCTGAGCGTAACTAGCAAATATTTAACAAGATACAAGAAAAAGTAGTTTTGGCCGCCATGTTGGAGGGCAAGAGTATGCCCTCCAACATGGCGGCCACTACAAATCACTTTGCCAAAAAATCATAGCCTGTGTACAGACGTCTCTTCTCCCGATTTTTTTCTGAGGGAGCGGGGACGTCTGTACACAGGCTAAAAAATCAAAGTGCCATAAAATATCTCCCTGAAATGCGTTTCTCTCAAATTTCGGGTGTAAGATTTATGTGCTCTATCAATTTTTGGCATTAGCAAGATTCCAACTCATTGTTTAGAGGAAGCATTGATCACGTGACTTCTTAGTGCAAGTGGCCTATTGGGCCCATCTAATTTCTGACTTGGCTACACTAACAGCTACTTTGGCACTTCCTCTGAATTTGGCCCTACTAACAGCCAAATAAAAATGCCGACTTGGCCCCTATAACAAGGTTTATGCCGGAGCGACCGCCTTTTGCCGTCAAAAGGGGCGCAATGCAAGGGGACCGCGATGTTTAGTTGAAGTAACCATACGTCTGACACAATCCAACTTGTAAGGCCCGTTTGGTCGAGCGAGGAACTAAGATAACTTTAACGTAGACCTAAAACCGTGACGACAGTCGAAGACTGTAAGGCAACTCATGGTTTCGAGCGAACTTTTGCCTCGAGCGAAGCCGACAATCGGAAACAAAACTACAATCACGCTCCCGAATATTCTGCACATGATTAAATTTCCAATATCGATCTGACATTACATGATGCGTCACCCGACCGGTATGCAAACGGTCCAACATTGTTTATACGTTACGCTTCGGCGATCACTGGACAAAACAAATGTTGAGAGTTGTTGGCTCAAAAGTTTAGACTGCAAAACAGTCCGTATTTTTGCGTTTTCAAGTACGCGCGAGCAGTCAAACATAAGGTCTGGAATGAGGCTGAAAACAGAGAGCGAGACTGTGAGGCTCGCGCGCTTCGCGCGCGTAAGACTATACGCCACGCTTTACCGATTTATTTACTGATTTTGAGAAAGAAACCGACCGTTTTGCAGTCTATCAAAAGTTCGACCTGTTTCAAACTTTGCGCAACAACACGCAGCAACATGCAACAGGGTGTTCAAACGGACGCAAGTTTACTTCAAGTTTAAGTTTAATAATGCTTTATTATCCATACAGTAAAAATACTGAAACTGAGGTGTAGTAAAATATAATATAGCGGGATACCGGCAGGGGAAAACTAAATTCTCATTCTACAGAATATAGTCAGAGTTGTCCGTTTAATTATAGCCATTATTACTATTATTTACAATAAAAATGTTATTTCCTTTTTTTCCCTTCACCTGAACATAATCAATATTGCAATCGGCAATGCCATCAACTCATGGAAATGCCAATAAATAATTTTAAAATGTTGTTGTTGTTGTAGCCTGCGTAGCTGGCGGTATTGTGTAGTAGTCGAGTGAGATTTGGCGGCGGAGCCGTTGTAATATAGTCGAGTGAGATTTGACGGCGGAGCCGTCACGAGCGGCGAAGCCGCGAGAAATAGTATTTCAACCGCCTCGTCCCTACTCCCTTTTTTTGGAACACGGCTCCACCGCCAAAACTTTAATCTCGCACCCACACAATACCGCCAGCTACGCAGGCTATTGTTGTTGTTGTATCGCGATAAACACAAGCGCACCTTCTCATTGGTTGAACGGTGTCGCGTGACCAGCTGGCCGTGTCCTCAAATATAGGGATATCCCCGACTGCTAACGTACTTAGCGAACAGCCGGGAAGACAAGTGTAAAAATGAAGTTCCTCCCTGCTTTTGAAAAACGTTGTTCGTACCGTCAAGTGGCAAAGCATGTATGTAGCGCGCAGACAAATGTAACAAGATGAAAGAATCGCTTGAGGTCCATCACTTGGTGCTGCACGGCTGATTACGGTGTTCGTGCACGCCATCATGATCATCAAGTTGCGATTTCATGCCACCATCACTGACATCGTCGAGTTTTCTTATGGGAGGGAATAGGAGGCAAAATCGATACGCCAACGCTGTTCAAGTCAGGCACGCAATCGACCTAGTCTTGTGGAAATCATGAGGTTTACTACTTCCGGAATATGTCCGAATTTTTCTTCATGTACGGTACAACTAAACTGCCTAGCTTTACGTCCACGTGTTATGTACCAAGAAGAAACTGGTGAGTAAGACTATCACTTTGTTAAGTCATTTATGTAAAGGCTAAGACACGTATTCAGTGCTTAATCATTACTTGCATTCTCTTTGTGTGTAACAACTGAAAATTCTTGTTGATAGCATTCTCTACTATTCGACTTCTCTCGCTTTTTACACCAGTTATTCAGAGCTTCCGAAAAAGTTGTATAAATCGGCTAAATCGGCACC